CTGTCTTATGCCTTATTTATGCAAGACTTCCCATACAAAAGTGGCGAAGAAAGAAGGCTGCTGAACCTAGTCCTAAAAAAACAGCTTTGCGAAGGGGAGATTAATGAATTGATATAATTAGCGGTTTCCCACCTGGGGTGATTAAACCATGCTGAGATAGATTTAGGAAGAAGACCTCTTTCACTGAGATAATGTGCAGGATCTGCTCTCTAAATTTTCTCTTAGCCTGAGCGAATTCAAGAAATTGTAAGCACTCAGAAGACAGTCCACAAGAAGAAAGGTATTTTTGAGAATGATCTGTGATCGTAACAGTTGAAATTTACCAGATTGGATGGATGGAATCAGTCCAGCTGGAAAAGAATGGCACTTGAGCTGCTATTTATTTAGCGTATGGCATATCATATATGGACTAGAAATATATACTAACATTTCATCTAGATTAGTAAAACACCATAAAATACAAATGTTTAAAAGATCTATATTCAAATAACAATGTCTAGGCCAGGGGTAGGCAACCTTGGCTCTTTGATGACTCGTGGACTTCAACTCCCAGAATTCCTGAGCCAGCATGGCTGGCTCAGGAATTCTGGGAGTTGAAGTCCACAAGTCATCAAAGAGCCAAGGTTGCCTACCCCTGGTCTAGGCCAACTCATCATTGAGGCACAGCATCATTTTATTTAAAAAAAAATCAGATACTAGACCAGTGTATGTCCTCAGCTTACAGCCGGTCATGGTGTGATCTGCAGTTTGACGTGGGACCCCGTAGTCACACTGAGGGGAAGATACTATGCCCCATTTATACTTGAGCTGATGATAATCCTTAATAGCCAAGCTCTTAATTCAAGCCTCTTTTGTCCAATTTCAATTCTGGAGATCACATTAGATGTTCCTATGGGGTATGGAGCAGAGCTCTGATAAACTTAGCTTGAACTACTTTTACTGACCTCTAACCTGGGCAACTTCCTATCTTTGTGAGGAAGCATGCCTGGGTCTTTATTCAGACAATGTATCCGGGATTTCATCATTATCACAAATTATAGCTCCTGCAAAGCTATCCAATCTCTTGCATCATGGTCTTATGGCTAGGTTCCGTTACATCACTACTGGATCTTGATAACTGCATGGATAGTTTTCTAGTTACCATTTTCAGATCCAGTGTGCTAGTACTTTTTCCCTGAGTCTGAGAGAGTGGACTGACCTAAAGTCACTCAACCGGCTTCCATGTCTAAGGCAGGACTTGAACTCAGGTCTCCTTGCTCATAGTCTAACACTTTAACCACCAGTGTAAATTTTATTATACGTAAAATACACATTGTGCAGTCTCGTATCTGTTTTTATTTGTTCTAGTGCGGTATTTCTTAAAAGTTTTTTTTTTCTCTTTTAAGATCTGTTACAACTTTTAAATTTTTGAAAGACATCAAAAAAGCTTTTGTTTGTATGGGGTTATATTTATCAATATTTAACAGAAGGTAACAGAATAACCTTGGGGGTCTTCTAATCCAACCCCCTGCTCAAGCAGGATATCCCATTCCAGACAATTGGCTGTCCAGTCTCTTTTTAAAAGCCTCCAGCAATGGAGCACCCACAACTTCTGAAGGCATGTCATTCCATCGGTTAATGCACTTAAAGTTAAAATTGGCACATTCATTGTCACTATCACTTCTCATGAGTGATTGATGGGATTTGATATTGTATTATTTTTCAACAAAAGCTGGCAAAAAATTGATTTTGCATACCATCAGGGAGGGAAGTCTTGGGGAACCCCCAGGAGTCCTTGTAACATATTTTGAGAAAGACCACAATGGATACAGAAGCTGGAGACATAAACTGGGTCCATTCTGCAGTGAAGGGAAGAAAACTAATCTTCTTACTCCAGTCCTCAGTTTCTTCATTTAGAAAATTGTATCCATACTCTCACTGCACAGATATGGAGGCATTTAAAAAGCACTCCTCTTATTGCTATTGCTAAGAGTCAAAATTAAACTAAAGGGGTAAATAAGAGAACAAAATGAGAGAGAGAAAGAACTTAAGGGGGTGACGTTTGTGCAGCCCCAATTACAGATAGTCGACTTACAATAGTTGTTCAAAGTTACAACGGCACTGAAAAAAGTGACTTATGACTATTTTTCACACTTATGACCGTTGCAGCATCCCCATGGTCACGTGATCAAAATTCAGACGCTTAGCAACTGACTTATATTTATGACGGTCACAATGTCCCGGGGGGGGGGTCACGGGATCACCTTTTGCCACCTTCTGACAAGTAAGGTCAATGGGGGAAGCTTAACAACCGCATTACTAATTTAACAACTGCAGTGATTCACTTAACAACTGTGGCAAGAAAGGTCCTAAAATGGGGCAAAACTCACTTAACGAATGTCTCACTCAGCAACAGAAATTTTGGGCTCCACTATGGCCGTGAGTCGAGGACTACCAGTATGTCATATACAGATGGCCTGCAAGGCTATGGCTCAGTGACAAAACATGCCTCTTGCATGGAAACGACCGCAACTGAATTGCCAACATTTCCAGGTAAGGCTCTTGCTGAGCTGCTGCCATCCAGTGCTGGCATATTTGGGGTAAATGGACCCATGGTCAGATGTACTGAGCTTCCTGCATCCCTAACTGAAGTTTGGAGGATCCACAGCAGGGGTCCCCAACCCCCAGTCTGTGGACTGGCACCAGGCTGCAGCATGCCAGAAACTGGTCCACGCAAACAAGCAAGGCCCCATCCGCGGGATGCAGGCAGTACATGAAACCACGCCCCCTCTGGTCCGCAGAAAAAGCTCTCTCCATGGATCCGGTCCCTGGTGCTCAAAAGGTTGGGGACCTCTGATCCACAGGATATATTCTGCCTGTACAGATACCTTCAGAACATCTGCCTTGGCTAAATAAGAGGGGTGAGTTGTCAGTCTCTTATGACTTAATGCTGACAATAATAAAGAAGGTCCTGCAATCAATAGAGGAATGACCTAATTAGAATTCGATTCAGAGTCTTTGTTTGCACAAGTTAATATGGTTACTGAAATCTCCCATTTTCTGATCTATGCCCCAAACTATAAACTGATGGATTATCCTCCACTCATATAGCACACCAAGGTACCAAAATCTAACCAATGCTAAAGTTAAGCAAGTTTAGCATGTTGAATAAATGCAGCCACTGGGTTTGTAATTGGCTTGATTAACACGTTGTGTGCATACAGCTAGTGCAGACATGTCAAACTCGTGACGTCATGTGATGTCGCGCAACGTATTGGAGCTTTTTCGCCATTGCCAGCAATGGGGTGGGTGCGGCTCCGGTATGATGAAACCGGCCCGTGGGCCGGCAGTTTGACACCCCTGAGCTAATGAGTATACAAAATTTCACTGTTTCTTTCTATGGTCACAATACAGATCAGATTGACATACACAAACTGCATGCATTTCAATGAGGCTTAAAGAAAACCTTAGATGGGATTCCAATTTTTAGATGTCTGTTACAGATGTCAGTTGTGCTTTCTTTATGAGGGCAAGTAATCAACATTCCTTCTGCAAATTATTTGCTGAAAAGGCACCATCAGATGTTAGCCTTCTAAATTCTTTTGACCATGTTTCCTGATACATGGAAGATGTTGGCACCATCCAACTCTTTTGCTGGCAATGGCCATCAAAGAAAGGATTCAAGTGAACGAACTGTAATGTTAATGTGGAACCCAGCTTATCAGGAGAAAGTACTTTTCACCATTGAAAGATAACCCATAATAGAGAAATGACTGAGATTGTGAAAAATAGACTTTTACATGAAACACTGCATCTTGTGAATATCCACAGAAATCTTTTAGTGGCTGGGAACTTCTGGGGGAGAGATGGCAAACTAAAGATGCAGTACTTCCGCAAAAGCAGATCATAGCAAAGAACTTTTCCAGACAAGGAGAAGATGGGAGATTGACCACATGTGCTCTGAACAGCTGGTCTTCATGAGGAGACCACAGGATAGCACTTTTCTTTGAGTCTGAGAGCTGGGAGACAAAGGTATTAGCCACCTTGCTCACCACCACAGCAAACCCCTTTAAAGGCCACTGAGTTCACAAACCTCACTTTCTCATCATTTTCAGAAATTGCCTATTAGCCATTTTCAAGCTATTAGAAACCTCTTGGTGGTTGGGAAGGCGTTTTCTTTCTTTCTTTCTTTCTTTCTTTCTTTCTTTCTTTCTTTCTTTCTTTCTTTCTTTCTTTCTTTCTTTCTTTCTTTCTTTCTTTTTTTCCAAATCCCACCAAAATATCCTTGAATAAGGATGGTTGCAAATAATATTTTAGACTCTGTGAATCTCTAAATAGCCATTGGAAGTGCTATAGCAGTGGTTCTCAATCTGTGGGTCGGGACCCCATTTGGGGTCGATCGACCATTTCATGGGGGTCGCCAAGCAAGGCTGTCCGCCATTTTTTTTGTCCGCCATTTTTTTTATCCGACATTTTTTCCCCCTTTTCCGGCGGGTGCCTTACCTCCCTTGGGCTGGGCCAGCTGGTGGTTGGCCTGCTCCGTCTCTGCCGCTTGCCAGCTACGCCTCGGCCGGCGCAGGGGGCGGAACCACGCATGCGCGGCGCTCCCGGGCAGGGAAAGTCCTCGACTTACGTCCGGTTGGGTAGTCCTCGACTTATGACCGGTTTAGTCCTCGACTTACGACCGGTTTAGTCCTCGACTTACGACCGGTTGGGGTCGTGGCATTAAAAAGGTTGAGAACCACTGTGCTATAGGGTATTACTGGAGAGACACCAGACTGGGAAGCAATTGTCCTTGGGGTTATCTGAAGTCAAGTCTGACTTGATGACACTCAGCCAACTAATCTAAAGCTGGATATAAAAGTGGGATATAAATTAATTAAATAATCTATAGACCAGGGTTAAATTTCTTCCTTGTGAACCCTCCTGTATTCTCCCTTCAGTCCTTATTTTTGAGCCAGTGAATGCTTCCCTTGTGTGAAACCCCCAACCACTAGAGTGCTGTATCTCCAGCTTCTCACCTGAGGTTTTCAGAACTGAATTCTGATTCCAAAAATCGAAGAAACTGGTCACGCCCCACAGGATCTTTCAACACCTCATCTATAGAGAAGCCCCATCTCTTGACCCGATGCTGCGAAGGCTCTTTGCTACGTAAAAGGATAGAGAGGAAACCATTGCGGCCATCAGCATGTTTTTTCCTTGTCAAATCTTCAAATATTCATTTGGGACGGCTCAACTGAAAACTGCTTGCAGCAATACATTAATGAAACTGGAGAAAATGCTTGCAAACACCTGTTTGATTTCTGAGAGCAAAGGAATCTGTATGTATGAAAAGGGATGGTGTGTTTCCCTTTTAGAAACACAGAGAAACACACTGACTAGGTCAGGGGTAGGCAACCTTGGCTCTTTTATGATTTGTGGACTTCAACTCCCATAATTCCTGAGCCAGCATGGCTGGCTCAGGAATTCTGGGAATTGAAGTCCATGAGTCATAAAAGAGCCAAGGTTGCCTACCCCTGGACTAGGTAGTACTTACGAATAAAAGGTGGATGTTAAATGTCATAAATATAGTATGCTATATTACATGGATATAGAATTGCTGTTCTATGGATTGTGAAGTCTTTGATCAGTGGTAGTTCTTCCTCATGGAAATGGACAAATAACTTTTACTGACTTCTCAGGGTCTGGGGGTGTGGGACCACATTAAATTTTCTTGCAGTGGAAGCATTCTGTGCCTTGAACATGCCCTCAAGGTCTTTAGATTTAATCTTATATAAATCACCCTGACACAGCATGTTAAACATGACTTAATGTTAACCACGGTTAAAGTATTCACCCATCAAAGTTTCACAGATGATGGAGCACAGCCAGTTAGAGCTTTTAGTGATAATTCTGGTTGGTATTCCAACAGATTTACTCTCTGGTCACCTTTGTTTTCAAAATAAAACCATCTGTATCCTCTATAGGAGCAATAGCAGATACTTTCCTTCCCTGCACTGTTTACCTGGGAGACTAATAGTTGTTTAAGCATAAACTAACCATTAATTCAGAAGATAGCTTAATTAGCTAATGTATGACAAACCAAGGTTACAGTTTGTTTTTAAAGCACTTCTCTATAATGACAGCTAATAAAACATGACAAGCCATAAATGTCTCTGGGCTTATTTTCTGCAAAAAAAAAAAAGCATTTTGTGCATATGAATATTGTCATACGTTTCATATTCTTTGAAAAGTTCAGAATAAAATGACAGCAAATGTCGTAATAGCATAGTGAAATGGTCCCAGAGAGAGAGAGAGAGAGAGAGAGAGAGAGAGAGAGAGAGAGAGAGAGAGAGAGAGAGAGAGAGAGAGAGAGAGAGAGAGAGAGAGCGAGGGGGGGGGNAGAGAGAGAGAGAGAGAGAGAGAGAGAGAGAGAGAGAGAGAGAGAGAGAGAGAGAGAGAGAGAGAGTTCTAGCAAGGGTGGGGTCAAAGGGCATTTGGTTTGGTCATACCAAGTCTTCTAATACAACTTGCCACTGTTATGTCATAGAGATCTGGTGTAGGTTTACCAGATATTGCTTGCTGGAAACAATAAAATCCTATTGAACATTTCAACTTCTTGAAGCCATCTAGTACACATCTGAATTTTTGTCACACACATCTGGTAGTCTTTGCTTCTTAATACAGAACAGAATGAAGTACCCTTTAAAGAGTGGTTTGGGTTTTTTTACCTTGTTTCCAAGTCCCAAAACACACTGTCATCATTTATCCAGGGATTGGAAGGTTCCGCAGGAGTTATAAAGGGATCATAATCAGTGTACTGCTCTGAATAAGCAATTAAACTGTAACATGAAAAAGAAAAACAAGCACACTGTGAAAGTTTTTAAATGCTTTAAATGTATTTTGTATCTCTCTATATTTGAAAATAATAATAATAAAAAAAAACATGGCTGCTAGTGAGAAGTTGTTTTCTCATGAATCTGTCATGGAAAGGATGATGTTATATCACCAGGCCTCAGAATCACAATGTTTTATAACTAACAGAAGTTCTAGCAGTTCAGCCTCAGGGTCTTTTGGCCCCTTACCGTCTGATCTCATTTCATTAACTGCATTTCACAACCACCACAAATTAGGAGTCAGAAGAGGGAAAAGCTTTCGCTTTGGGATATACAGTATGCAGCAACTGAAGCAATGGGGGAAAAAATGGGGTGGGTGGGTGGGTGTCAACGCTCTGACAACTGATGAAAATTGCAGCCATTTTCTCTTTTCTTTTAACATGCTTTTTCTGGTATTTAGAAATCAGATGCAGAAGGGGGGGTTGGGATGAAAGCTCGAGTTCAGCTAGCCATAATAATAACACTGCTTTGTGGGAACCCAAGGATGAGCTGATAATGTTTTGGCAGGCTGAGGAGCTGGGGAGAAAGCCCACGTTTTAGGCTAATTCGAGAATGTGATTTATGACAGCTTATTGTGGGTGGGAATTGCACTTTGTGCAATTTAGTTTTTGGGTACAACTATGTAGTGCCGATACTATGTTTCCTGAATAAAATGTTCTTTAAGGAAGAATTTTTGCCTTGAAGTTCTTTTGATGGGTTTCATCTACCAGAACCATGACATGAAGGAATGAAGGCACCGTTATCTGGAAAGACTATAGGAACTGCACAAACAATGCCACTGTGAATGGAATGTTTTCTAATGCAATGGTAAGTGCTGCAGGAAATTAAAAATAATGGCAAGAACAATGCAAATGGCATTTCAATGCATTTGTGTTTATTTCAATCATTTGTGAATCCATCAGACATCTGAAGACTCTTTAAAGAACATTTAAGGATTCATGTTGGTTTAGCTTTGCTGCATTAAAGTTTCCTTCTTGCTGGTTTTATTAATTCATTTGATTGTGGTGTGGTGTCATTTGTTTTTGCTTGTGTATGATTTTCTTTGTTCTTCTATTACATTTTCACATTTACTGTTTGAACGAACGGATTCTTACTACGGCAAAAGGCCAGCAAGCACATTTGTTTTCTTAATTGTGCATATCCAATAGCTGTAAGTGAATAAATACAGAAACTTGCACTCTTGAGATCCCTAGCTCATTTTGCAGAGCTCCAATGGCTAGTTCATAGAAATAATTAGTTTATGTTGATCCTCTGTTTATTAGAATTAATAAAGTACAGCACAGGAAACAATACTCACGTTATGTCAATATTGACATGCTGAAATGTAGGTTAACTATATTTACAGCTTAACAAAATGAATTCAGAGCAGTTTAACATGCCATTTTGCATACCAGACACTAGAGGTTGTTCCAGTTCAAACTGCTGTATCTATACTTATGTATCTACCTAACAATTCAAGGGATGCAGTACATACATAAACAGTCCAACTAGGATGAGATTTTGTGATTAGCGGACAAATATGCCAGGTTTATAGCTGAGGTCATGTTTTTAAAAAGCATTACTTAGAAGAACCAGTGTCCAAGTGAATACTTTGGTCAGATCTTTTTGCATCCACAAGACAAAGTGTGGAAAAGGGGGGACAACCAGTTTAACCAGTCTGACATTCATGTACATGACAGTAAACAATAGTTTGATGTTCCATCCAACTTTGTTTTGTCTCAAGCACTGCTGGCTTTGATTTTATCTTATATTTTTCTCTCATCAAAGCTTAGCTGTAATGGGCCGATTATTTCAAGATGATGGAAAAGTCTGTTGAATTGTGTGGGTTGTGCATGGGAAGTATGAAAACAACTTTAGACTGTCATTCTAAATTGCATTTTTGTTATTTGTAGAAGCTTTTCATTAATCTTATATCTCAAGAAGGCAATAAGGGAAACTGGTAATTTTGTTTAAGAACATAAGAACTCAGCTGCCCTGATTTATATGATTGTTTTGAAACAGCAATATAGACACCTCCTATAATAGAATATACTAGACATAAAATAGAAAGTCCTAGTTTGAGCCAACTCTCTAAAACATGTTTGCAAATCAGGATCAAGCTGTTGAAATAATCTATTAAGTCAGCATATATTAATGGGAAAAGCATGCATATACCAGCAACTAATTCCTGAGGTCTGAAAATATGCTTTTGCAAATCTTGGGAGGGAAAAATAGCAACAACAGTGATAATAACATGAATTGGAGTGCTTACCTTTCCGCTACTTTAGACATTTTTAAACAATGCCTGTCTATCTGAACGTTCAGAAATGATATCTGAAGAAAAGAAATGAAAACAGCTCTTGAAGAAACAACTATATGTAGCTGCATAGACATGCAGTTATCCAGTAATTTTATTTGATGGTTTACACCAGTGTTTCTCAACCTTGACAATTTTAAGGCATGTGGACTTCAACTCCCAGAATTCCACAGCCAGCAATGGTGGCTGTGGAATTCTGGGAGTTGAAGTCCACATGCCTTAAAATTGTCAAGGTTGAGAAACACTGGTTTACACAATTCGCATCATAATATATTGAAAGATATGGACTCTAATCCAATGTATCCAAGCATTCTGCTCTATATTTGGAGGGCATTTCCCCCCTCAACTTTAAGTAAGTTTGTTCTTCTCTATGTTGCAGATGTCCAAGATCTCCAAGGCTTTCCAACTTCGTTATTCTGGTATAAACTATGCAGAACCAAAAGGGAGATGGCAAGGAGGATGAAGGATATGGTTCAGCTGATTTACTAGATAAATCCTCCCTCCCCATAAGTGTAATTATCGGAAGGAATACATTTCTAACATCTTATTTACTCAAAATTATGTCCCACATCTGCAGAAATACTTTTTTTTTAAAAAAAAATCAATCCATTTCTCAAATGCAAAAGAAGCAGTTTCAAAGCCATTCAGCTTACTTGCTTTCGGACATCATCTTTTGTTGTTTTGCGAATTGGCTGGGAAGGTATATGTGCAGGACTTTGGGACTGACTGTCTTCTGTAACTCCATAAACTGACTGTAATAAAAAGTTGAAAATAATTTGGTACATAAGGGTGATCACCAGTAGAGAGAGGTTTCACATCCTTAAATGACTAATGATAGCATTGATTCAAAAGGAAGATGAACAATGCATTCTCTAATGAAAGAGTAGACAGAAAAATGAAGGAGGAAATGGCTCAGTGGTTAAGACATTCGGCTTGTCGGCTTCAAGACCCGGGTTCAAGACCCGAGCATCATGCAATGAGGTGAGTGCCCATCTTTGCCTAGCTCCTGCCCATCTACCAGTAGGTTTATCTCAAAGGCTTTTGTATAACGTCAAAAAAAACAATAATTTCATGCCAGTCCATAAAGATTTATAAACATTTGCCTGAAGTGAGGATTATTTTTCATTAGGCTGATGTCAATGTCTTCTTAATATAGATCATCACTAAATGTATCCCATAAAAATCTCATCTAGCATGTTTTACAGGTTCTTTGGAGAAGAGAAGAGAAGAAGAGGCTTGCCTTTTTGACCCTCTGTGGATTCTTCATTCGCCGACATTTTCTGATGTCCATCTCTGTGGTATTCACACAACCCGGCTAGGGAAAAAACCCACAAACAAAAATATTAATCTTGTTTAATGTTTGTACTGCCTTTCATTTTCTACAGACCAATGATTTCAAACGCTGACTTATGGTGCAATTAGAATTGCATTTTTAATCTAATATTTGGAAGTTCATTTAAAAATCACAGCAGGCTAATACAGCACAAATTAGCTTTCAATGAGGCTCACTTCAATGGAAGAGTGGATGTATCTATTTTCTGTTTCCAGGGCATATAATTGTCATTGGGTGCACTTTGCCAAAATTCAGTGCTATTCAGATCATAACCATTTGCTTTCTCCACTTAATTTTTGGAGATAAACTACTCTTTGAACCCTGCTTTTATATAATAGCTAGGTTCATATATTGTGCTAAGCCTTCATCATTTGCTTTTTTTTTTTTTTGCTTTCTGAACTAACTGGGACTTATAGCTAGTTCGCAAAATTCAGACAACTACTAGTCTTTTTGCTGTCATCTAATGATCATTCGGAATTGGGCAGCTGAAATATATGGTAATAGCCTATGTAAGTCATAGTTCAGCAAATAATACCTTAGATATTCACTCATACTTTCTATCATTTGTGTGATGGAAGCATGGACAAAAAAAATAATTGATTCCTTGAGAATAAACAGGACTTCCTTCCAGCTTGCACAGCATTGCTCAAATTAATGGTAACTCATAGTTGCAGTTGCAGTTCACATTTTATTGATTTATGTCTTTATTGTTCTATCAAAGAAACAATCAAACTTCATGAGCTGGATAAACACTTCAATAACAAAGGACAAGATAGTCAAACGTTATGTACTCATAGAAACGAGAATCAATAGTGGAAGAATATCCTTAATTAGACCTATTTTCAGCACCAAATGTCCTTAATTTGTCTATTTCCAGCATCAAATAACTTTCTTAGACCTCATTTGTTTTTCTCTTCCTGGAATTGCTATTTTAAGCCAATTCCAACACTTGAACCAACCAACAAATCAAGAAATCATTTACTGGAATACAGTTTCCATTTTGTCCAAATATAGAAAGTATTATAAACAATTTTAAAATAAGGCAGGATAAATCAATTTTAAACTTTGGTTTAATATCTTGGCTCTCATCCATTTCCCTTACTATGGTTAACAGGTTTGTTTGCCAGCTCATCTAAAGGTGAAGACATGGGAGTAACTTTTTGCAGCAGAATATGCTTCAGATCTCAAGATATAATAACAGCATCCGTATGATGACATCACCATGCGTGGATCATTATTTTGATAATCGTAGTTTTCAATACTGTTTTTATATGATTTGGCACGGTATCTACTAGCAGAGGAAACCAAGAAGGATAGTGGAAGCACGGAATAGGATCTGGAAGTGATGATGCCCTAAGAATGGCTTGCTAGGTTCTGCCAAAGAGGTAGTACCCCCAACTAATTCTGACTTACTTGGTGGCCATTAGATTGAAAAGATTGCCCAAAATACAGATACATCACAATTGTGCTTCCAGATGTTTTATAATTAGCTGATTATAAAAGAGTAACACATCATTGAATCTTACCACTGGCCTATGAACATCCCAGAAAGCTCTTTCTTGACTATCCAGAATCTTCCTTTCTGTCTTATCCTTTTTTCTGTCAATTCTAAAAACAAACAAACCAACAAATTGGTCCAATAAATAGAACCAAAAGCAGTTTTTGGGTGTGATCCTGATTTGTATGAGTATTCATATCAGTCTTCATTATGAATTTTTAGTTAATAAAATCATGCATAACAGAGTATCCTGCCATACAGTTCAAACTACACCCCTCTCTCCATCATACTGTATTTACATGTGCAATTAGTCCAGTTTACAATTAATCACATTACTGTACAGGGTTGCTCAGGATCTTAGGCTAAAATGTGGTTGGTTAATTTGGCTCAACATATAATGTGAATACAGATAGTCCTTATCCTACAATTGGGATTGGCAACTTGGTCGCTAAGCAAATTGGACACTAAATAAAACTGTGATTGTGCTAAACTTTCCTTTGCTTTACAGAAATGGTCATAAATGTGAGGACTAGTTGCAAAGTTACTTTTTCACCACTGTCGCAACTGTGAACAGTCACTAGAAGAGAGACAGTCACTAGAAGAGAACTACCAGTACAACCAATGGGCTATTTAAGTTTTGCAAAAAATACCCATCTAAAATTTTATACCAAAAATATAGTATTTCTACTGTATAACCATCCCTCCACCCACCCACCCACCCACCCATCCCCCCAAGAGTCAATTCTTTGCACATATAGCTAAGAGTTTTAAACTAAAGCCTGAAATTAGTTTTAGTGGTGAATAAAAATATACCCAGACTAAATACAGCCTCCATTTGGAGAAACACGGCAGTTAAGCTAAGGCTAAATTTTATTTTATTTATTTATTCAGTTTCCATAGCCACCCAATTCAACCAAGTGACCATATAGTTTTACTGGATCTATATTATACTTGTTATAGCAATCAAAGATGAATATGAACTAAGTATTTATGCCACCCCTTCCTCCAAAATGTTGACAACTCCTAGAAAGGAATTACAGGCTATGTGATAGCCACAACAGTTAAACCCTGTTAAAATTAGGCCCATAAATCGAACAGCTTTAGCAGCAAGAGTTTAATAATCAGCATCCACTCTTATCCATGTGGTTGACACTGATTAATACAGCTCATTTAATGTTGCCTGAGGCTTTAGGGATGCCCAGCGGATAGTAGTGGGAAAAAACCTGTCAGAGCAGAAAGGCCATGGAATGAATTATTACAGAGGAAACATACCACATGTGTGTGCGCATTGACATGCAGTGTTCCAATTGCTTTATAAAAATTTATATTTATTTCTAAAAATAAATAAATACTGAAGACAGCAAGACTCAAATTAAATTTAATTCTTTTTTTAATTGTTATGTTAATAAAGTAATCTGTAGCAACATCACATACTTGTGACCAGTGTACTGCATGGCTGAATCAGTGGATTAAGCCACTAAAGGTTTAGTGAAGTAGAGAGAAGACTCCAGTTTTAATTGGCAAAATGATATTCAAAGCTCAAATACATATTTTGGGGGGCAGAGAATGGGTTTGATATAATGTCCCCCGTGTCTTTCGGTATTTCAACAGTATTTCCTCTTTTCTTTTTTTTTTACATGGGTAACATTTTGTAGTCCTTGCACTTATGACCATTGCAGCATCCTTGTGGTTACCTGATTGCACTTTGGGTGCTTGGCAACTGGCAGGTATTTATGACGGTTGCAGCATCCCAGAGTCATCTGATTGTCATTTGCAGCCTTCCCAGCTGGTTTTGAACAAGCAAACTCAGTGGGGAAGCCAGCGGGAGGTCTCAAGTCTTGGTCATATGATGTCTTGCTTAATGACTATAGAGAAATAAGATTGTAAAATCAGGTACAGCCATGTGATGCTTCTCTTAATGATGGCACCACTTTAATAACAAATTTTCCATTTCCAATTATGGTCATAAATCAAGGACTACCTGTGTTCCATGCTTATTCTATGGATTGATCTAACCCTGGGGTAGGCAACCTTGGCTCTTTTATGACTCGTGGACTTCAACTCCCAGAATTCCTGAGCCAGCATAGCTGGCTCAGGAATTCTGGGAGTTGAAGTCCACGAGTCATAAAAGAGCCAAGGTTGCCTACCCCTGACCTTCTCAAGTCTTGAGCTCAGATTTCTTCCCTCTCCAATATGCCAGCCAAGTTGCGGCTGTGTTTTCTCAAAGAATTCTTAAAACTTTTCTAATACCAAGTGGAAAGTAAGCTACAGAAATACTTTCAGTTGTGGGAAGACAATTTAACCTTAAAGCATAAGCCTGAAATAGTATATTTCATCATTACCATGTATTCGGTATCATCACAATTTTCAATCATCTGACTTGTTTTACTGCAAAACACCTACTTGACTTGTGCTTCAGCTTGCATAAAGATGAATTCCCACTTTCTGGCAAAAGCTCTCTGAAGCCTTGCTAAGTTCTCCTAAGAGGAGAGAAAAACAACAACAACAACAGCAAAACAACAACACAAGAGTAAGGAGAGCTAACAATGAAAAGAATCACCGTTAGGAAATCTGGTTATTATCTAGATCCCATTAAACTGAAAATTAAAGTAATGAGGGAAATGCCAAGAAGAAAATTTTCACTGGATACAGGAGAATGAATTAATGGGATTCGTACTTCATGTTTGTACATTTCTTGATGTTTTGAACCTTGAACCAGTTTTATTCTTTTAGGGTTCCCCCCCCTCAAAGATAACTCCTATGATCCTTATAGTGCTCCCCATGCATTATTATATATAATGAAAATGGCATCTCTATTGTCTCACTGATCTCATGGGGGCAATTCCAATAAGCCCTTACTAACTTCAGTGGACTTTTAAATGTACCCAATTTTCAAGTCATTTGCACCTATCTGAAAAGCGCCATGCTTCGTTCCCATGTTGTTTAATCATTATGTGTCCATGTAATGCTCACTCTTTTCTTAAACATTAGCCTTCTCATACTTGCGGCCTTTCAAAAGTATTGCCAATTCTGTAAAATGTAATCGCAACACATTTGGAGGGCCCCCAGGCTGGGAAGGCCGCTATATTTTGCTGATGCAATGATCTAAACCATGGCAATAAGGATAAACCACAATCATTTAACAGAAGTCTCTTATCTAATGTGATATGTTGACAGGGGTGGATAAAAATAATTGATTCAGGCATCACAGTGGGATAGTGAAATATTGAATTTGCCATTGAAGATACAAATCCATTATGTACAAAGTGTGTAAACTGAATGCTTTGAATTATTGGCAGGAAGATTTTAGGCTAGTACAATTCCCCACAAGAATCCAGATGCCCAACAACCTGAAGCAAGACCTTAAATATTGAAATGTGAAATTCACTGCCTACTGCATAATACGAGCCATACTTTTGAAATGCAATGAATTTACATTAAAAATGTTAAATAAGAGTTAACATGTGAGGGAGAAAGGATGTGGCACAGAAAGAAGCAAAACCAGTTCTATTCCAGCCATAAGAATTGGTGTTTTTAAAAAGAGCTTTTTGTGTTATATAGCATTAACAATGACAATAATAGAGTTGGAAGAGACCTTTGAGGTCTTCTAGTCCAACCCCCTGCTCAGGCAGGAAACCTTATACCATTTCGGACAAATGGTTGTCCAGTCTCTTCTTTAAAACTTCCAATGTTGGAACGTTCACAACTTCTGGAGGAAGGTTGTTCCACTTATTAATTGTTCTGTCAGGAAATTTCTCCTTAGTTCTAGGTTGCTTCTCTCCTTTATTAGTTTCCATCTGTTGCTTTTTGTCCTGCCTTCAGGCGCTTTGGAGAATAGCTTGACTCCCTCTTCTTTGTGGCAGCCCCTGAGATATTGAAACATTGCTATTATGTCAACCCTAGTCCTTTTCTTCATTAAACTAGACATACTCAATTCTAGCAACCGTTCTTTATATGTTTTAGCCTCCAGTCCCCTAATCATCTTTGTTGCTCTTCTCTGTACTCTTTCTAGAGTCTTTTTTACATCGTGGTAACCAAAACTGGATGCAGTATTCCAAGTGTGGCCTTACCAAGACATTATAAAGTAGTATTAACACTTCACGTGATCTTGATTCTATCTCTCTGTTAATGCAGCCTACCACTGTGTTGGGGTTTTTTGGCAGCTGCAGCACACTGCTGGCTCATACAGTATTTAAGTGATTGTGCACCAGGATGCCAAGATCCTTCTCACAGTTACTACCACTGAGCAAAGTAGCACTTATACTGTACCTGTGCATTTGATTTTTCTTGCCTAAATGTAGAGCCTTACTTTTTTCACCATTGAATTTCATTTTGTTAGATAGCGCCCAATGTTCAAGTCTGTCAAGATCCTTTTGTATCTTAAGCCTGTCTTCTGGAGTGCTGGCTATTCCTGCCAGCTTGATGTCATCTGCAAATTTGATGAGTTCCCCATCTAACCCATCATCATTGATGAAGATGTTGAAGAGCACTGGGCCCAGAACAGAGCCCTGGGGCATCACACTACACACTTCCCTTCATGTAGATGCAGTTCCATTGAAGATGCAGTTCCATTCTTCTGTGTACTTACAAAGATCAGTACAGATATAGTTCTTCATTATGTGAGCAATCAGTTTGTGGTGAAGGTGGGGAAATGATCTAATTAACTGATGTTAATTAATGAGTCCGACTCTTAATACTTGCAAGAGAACTGAATTTAGTGCTATGCCTCCTCTGTGGCTATACCATAATGTGACTGTGGATGCTGAATAAGGCTTTTGTTGATTTGTCAAGAATATTCATGATTATAGTTGCATAATTCACTAGCTAATGGTGTGGAAATGATGATAGTAGATGGGTGTAAGAATAAATACACTCAGAAAATTGCAATATGGTGTGTAAAACTGTCCATATAAATGGTTGGCTGATTTCAAGACAACTGGTAATTCTGCCCAGGTTGCGGGAAGGAATGTAAATTTAAACCTCTATGCATGTCAAGCTATGCAAACATCAATCATCACTGCATTTAACAGGGACTAGGTGAGTTAAATAGCTACAGATTTTTCAGCATCCGAGGAGTTATTTTTTGTTTTTATAAATTTCCAAAATCCAGTTGAAGATATGTTGTCACAATGCCAAGAGGAGAAAGTAGGTGAAGAATATTAATGCTCAGTGTGGTCTTCCTTTATTTTTAGGCTCTTAAACTGTAGGCATAGGAAAACAGAAGAATCTTGATCATTTCAATTCTAAAGGTTGAAATACTGCTTTGAAGGCCTCATATAATTTGGAAATAATAATGATAAAGTTGGAAGGGACCTTGGAGGTCATCTAGTCTCCAACCCCCTGCTCAGGCAGGAAATCCTATACCATTTTGGACAAATGGCTGTCCAGTCTCTTCTTAAAAACTTCCAGTGTTGGAGCATTCACTGTTTCTGGAGGCAGGTTGTTCCACTGGTTAATTGTTCTAACTGTCAGGAAGTTTCTCCTTAGTTCTAGGTTGCTTCTCTCCTTGATTAGTTTCCATCAGTTGCTTCTTGTCCTGCCTTCAAGCACTTTGGAAAATAGCTTGACTCCCTCTTCTTTGTGGCAGCTCCTGAGATATTGGAACACTGCTATCAAGCCACCCCTCGTCCTTCTCTTCATTGAATTAGACATACCCAATTCCAGCAACCGTTCCTTGTAAGTTTTAGCCTCCAGTCCCCTAATCATCTTTGTTGCTCTTTTCTGTACTCTTTCTGGAGTCTCAACATCTTTTTTACATCGTGGTGACCAAAACTGGATGCAGTATTCCAAGTGTGCCCTTACCAAGGCATTGTAAAGTACCAATATTGGTGCACATCAGTGTAAGCATATTTTACAAGGTTTAATTGTAGTAGATTTCTGGGTGCAATTTGAAGTCCAGATTCCAACCTAAAAAGCTTATCGCTGGCAAACAGAGGTAGATGCAGGACTGCCTTCTCCAACTAGAATATACCCATCCAATAAAGTTATCCCAGGAGAAACTGTGAGTGATGGTCCATTTTCATGAGGTGATGGAGTTGAGCCAGGAGAATTTCTTGATAATAAATTTTGTACTTTGGAAAAAGCTCCCTTTGCAACTTAAATTAAACTCCCTCTGAGGTCCTCTTCTGGAAATTAGTTAAAGCAGAACTTTTCTGTAGGGTGTTTGGGGATTAATGGAAATTGCCATCTGTGTTATTGATTGTTCTCCATTTTAATCTTTTTTACATTTAAAAGGATGTTCAGATCTGGTTTAAGTACAGATTACTTGGAAGCAAACAAGCATTGAGGTCAGGGATTGGATTGGAGGGGTGAAGCAATGATGGTGTTGTCTTAGAGCAGAGCTCCCAATATCACTCCTGGCTTAGAGTTACTGAATCTGATTCAGCAGTCACTATTTGGGAATAGAGCAAGACTATCTCAGTCTTCCCCAAATAGATGTCCTGCAACATCCATCCTTCCCTTCTAAAGAGATTTATGGTCTAACTCCTCTGAAAAACACCAACTTTTGCCAGGACAAACAACATGTTAGTCGCAGCCACCACGAATGATGCTATCCTCAACCTTTACGGTCAATGCACCATAGGAGTAATACATCCTATGCTGCAGATATACAGATATATTTGAAGTATGAATGACTTGCCTTAAAAGAAGTGTCAGTGCAATTAATAACCATATTTTGAATCTACCTAATAATCTGAATGTGCTGAGTTGTCAAACCTGACTCAACTCCATAATTGCACCTGCTGTCACTCGCATTTTGCCAAATAGCAAGGGGAGGGCAAATTCCTAAGGAGGGAGGGAAGGCCCAGAATGCAAGATTGCCTTCTGTTGCCAGCGAGATGTCAGACAGCAGAGTCAAGTTATGAAATGTCTGAGTGGCACAGACAGTCTTTTCCCAAAAGAAAAGAACTGAACCCAATTGGTAAACTATGAACTTTGGATGGCCCAGAGGGAGGGAAGGGGGGGTTCACCTATGGGGCTTTCGTGGGAACAATCCCAGAACTGACTTTGCTTTTGCTGTACGTACTGTAGATGGATCTTTCAATAAAGCTACACTCTTCATAAATTAAAAGAGCTGAGAGTTTCTTTGGTTGAATGTGCCAAATGGGACGGTTGACATGAGTAGGCTTACACATTACCAGGAGTAGGCAACCTTGGCTTTTTTATGACTTGTGGACTTCAATTTCCAGAATTCCTGAGCCAGCATATGCTGGCTCAGGAATTCTGGGAGTTGAAGTCCACAAGTCATAAAAGAGCCAAGGTTGCCTACCTCTGCACATTACAATGGTGTAATAATAGAATAGAATAGAATAGAATAGAATAGAATAGAATAGAATAGAACAGTACAGTACAGTACAGTACAGTACAGTACAGTACAGTACAGTACAGTACAGTACAGTACAGTACAGTATTAGTATAGTATAGTATAGTATAGTATAGTATAGTATAGTATAGTATAGTATAGTATAATCACAACTGGTTTTGACTAAGGCCAAGTAGGCACTGGTCAAAACATAGGGGCCATAAAGGCTTCTCTTCTTTCCAAATATTTCCAAATTTTTGCATTGGTAGGAGGTGATGCCATCAATCAATAGGGTCTACAGTCACCATATCCATTTGAATCAACACTGAATAGTATAATTATACTCCATGAAAATTATATCACATTATACACATATATTTTCATATAATGCAAAATGGGCAGAATAGACTCTTAAGAGTTTCTAGCATTTTAGCAAGCAGCAACCGAATGGTTTTATTTATTTTTTTATTTTAAGTAGCATTAAAAATATAGCATTATACTCTGGTAATGCTTTAGTCCTTTGAAGCAGTATTATAGAACTACTCACTCCAATAAAGAAAACTTAAAATCATTTAGTGCACATATTTTCCCCAGATCCTGTGGGAAACGGTGAAAGAACCAGAGTTATCTATGTGGAAACATTCTTAAGAAACTGTTCAGTGAGCCTCATTTATAGGTAAATTAGAGTGTGTTTTTTTTCTTGAATGGCCACATTTGTAAAGGGGAATGAAGCAGAATGAGCAGAAATTTTTCATAAACATTTTTTTATAAAAAGCTATGGTGCTTGCTTACAGCAAAGTATCCAAATTCAAGTCCACATTCAACCACAGAACTGACTGGTTTTTTACTCTTCCCACCACGTCCCCATCTTCCATAAGGCATTGTTGTGCAGGAATAAAATTAGGGGTAGACTTCTATGTAAACTGCCTTAAATTCCCTGACATAATATAAATAAAACATATTCCTTCTCCCTTCGAAAAGGAAAACATGTTTCTTTCTGATATTGCCCTTAAATCTACATAATTTCTGAATAAATATAATCTAATAGAAGTCTTTTTAGACAATGATGCTGCCTATATATCAAATGACATTCAATTTTGAGGTTATCACACTTTGGAACTATAAAATCAATATACCCACTGCTTCATAATCTGCCAGTTCCAGTCTAGCTTTATTCTGCATGGTCCTCTTGCAAAGATAGATGGCTATAGAGAGAAACAAACAACAGCAAAATACACCATTAAAGATATGTGAAGGAGGAGGAGGAGGAGGAGGAGGAGGAGGGAGAGGCAGAGGAAGGGAAAATGGAAGAGAGAGAAGGAATCAAGCAACTCCTCCTGAAATAATTGTTTCTGCTAAGACAATGGCATTCTCATACATGTAGATGCAACACTGAGAAAACTGCACCTTTCTTTAATTAAAGAGGCTACTTTAGGTTTCAATCAAATTTTCTTCAACTTGATACATTCATAATGCAGTTAACTAAGGAGTGGAAATTCTAGTTCCAATTACCAAAATTATGCGACTGTAAAGTGCAATATCAAATAACCCCATTGCTTAGCAACAGCAACCCCAGTAGTCCCTATTGCCATTAGCGCCATTAAGTGAGACCCACGGGTCATTAAGCAAAGACCTCCTCACAACTTACTGCTGACTTCCAACAAGCCAAATCAATGGCGAAGTCAGAAGGAAACTGCAAGTCCCGGACATGCAGCCTGGCCAGTGGTGGTTCCATAAGTGACCATGCGAATTGCCTTCCAGACCAGGAAACGGTACATAATTAGCATACAATATGAAGTTGTGCAAAAGCCTTTTTTCCCCCCATGGCTACTCAGAAGTAAATATGGAACATCAATTCTTAGTGATCGCATAGATCAGTGTTTCTCAACCTTGGCCACTTTAAGATGTGCAGATCATTTCCCATCTCCCAGAATTCCTCAGCCAATATGGCTGGCATAGACACAGACATATCCTTTCTCTAGGATACTTTCTCCAACCTGGTCTTCAGACCTTCCAACAGTGATAGAATATACCCATCACTGCTGTAATCAGGTCCATCCACCTTGCTGCTGGTCATCCTCTTCTCTTTTCTTAGCTAGGTTTTTGCATAATGTGTCCCATAAACAATAATTTTGAGCCTGGTCATTTGTTCTATGAAAAATAGAATACACCAAATGCAAAATGTGTTCAAATCTGGGTCATAAGTACGCCCCAGATAGGTCTATGAGAATTTTGAATGGACGCCAAGCAACTGGTTGTACGTTGAGGAACGCCTGTAGAAGAAACACTTCCCAAAACCTCTCGTATTATGAATACAGGTACATTTGATTTCCTTTGCCAAGGACCAGGCTGAATGAAAAAGAAATGATTTTATCATTTCTGTATGAGAGGAGAGCTGTAGAAGAGACACTAATAGTGCACAATAACAGCTAAAGGTAACTGTGCTGACATAGTTTATGCTTTAGTACTAAGTCACTTAGCCATTTAATACAAAATCTGTGGTTTATTAGCTCATAAAACATGGTTATTTCTTTCTGTCAGACCTCAGCCTCTACTAAAAAAAACCCTATCACCCGTTCTATCTCCTCTCTTTCGCCCTCCTTCTGTCTCAGGGAAGTGCCATTTTCATTTATTACTATATAGAGATTGCTAGTTTGGGTCAGATAATAGTTTATTGATCAACCACGTATATATATTACCATTTATTTTAAAACAAATTAAATTCATCCATGGAATTGAACCTAACTTTTCCTTAGGCATAAGATTAATGTTGTTATACAGCAATAATCTTGGACAGTGTTTCCTCTGTTGAATAATGTAGCCCTTGTCTGTAAGGAGGGACAGCATTCAGACCAACTGTCTTAAATGAACAGAACAGGGTCTCTGTTCAATGCTACATTTATGTAACTGTCCTAGACAGTGCTGCGTTTTTTAAATAATTGTAATAGACTAGTAACAAATTATTAAACTCTTTACTTAAGTTATTTCCATGCAGTTCAGAATAAAATAAAATTGGGGTGGAAAACCTGGCACATAGACCAGGGATGGGCAAACTATTGTTGGCCACGAGTGGCAATTAAGATGTTTTAGGAGATATGCACCCCAATAAAAAGGATTATGATGATACAAAAAGGCGCCCAAGAAAGCAAACGAATTAATTTAATGACCACGTGCAGTCTTACAACCTAAGATTGTCTCCACTCACTCTGTTTCATATGCCCATTTGAACTGAAATGCTCAGCATGCTTCTCTACAGAGGTAGTCCTTGTTTAGTGAACTTCGGGACCGGCAACTAAGTTGTTAAGTGAAGTGATCAATAAGTGAACCTGTGACTGTGCTTAGGATCTTTCTTCAGTTTTCCTTGGCTTCACAGACCCGAGAAGGTTGCAGATGTGAGGACTGATCACAAAGTTATGTTTCATCACCACTGCAACTGCAAACAAGTCACTAAATGAGGCAAACACTGACCAAGAACTACCCATAATGTGATCTATGTGAATAAAGATACTGCAGGTTCCACAACAGGATGCACATATAAACATATATGAGTTATCTGGTTTTAAGGTGCTGCCCTGAGCTCTGATGAATGCATGGAGAGAGAAATAAGGGACAATACTTATGCAATCTTTCCCCATACTGTCCATAGTATCATTCTAAGCAGAAACATCATATAAAAAGACAATGCAACTAAGATACTTTAACTGAAATAACACACTACCAGCTGAAAGTGCACAACCTGAAAATTTATCCAGTGAAATATATAAGGAAGGATATCAAATCTTATTTAATATATTTGGGTGAAATGGTGGGTCTTCCAGGTGAGCTATTTTGAAAGGGTTTTATGATTTTCAGAAGGGACAGCATTTCAGAATGAAGGTGCCACCATTGAGAAGGCCTCTTAGCAAATAACGACAAAATAGTTTCCTGGGTTTTTAAAGTTGCACATAGAAGAAATTCCTCAGGCAATTTTGCCAACATGACTCTAGGTAGTGCACAGAGAGTTAAACCCCTCACCCCAACCCCTCAGAATACAATTTATAAAACTAAACATCCTGAGACAATAATTAGCCTGGTTTAGCTAATGAGCATCTGTTAGGTATTCTGGCCTCCAGTTGTTTAGGGCATTATATCAAGAGTCAAATGAAGAGGTTCAGTAGCTAATTGGCAATCAATACTGTTGTTTCCACAATAATACAATATGCACCTTGGCTGCAAAAGAAGTGCTTTGGACAGGATGGTAGTAAAGAAAATTTCTGGGTGTAGGGAAGGCTTCTTCAGAAATGGACAGACCACTTCCTTAAAATCTGGAGAGAATCCTCCATCAAGTAAAAAATTATGTTTACTGGTCTTTGGAAATCTCCAAATCACCCCCTCCCACTTTGTTTGCTTGAGTACGCCAAGAGGTTAGAAGTCCGGAGAGGATATGATAGACTTAAACAGCCATAAATGTCTTGTTCTTTTTCTTAGGCCTCATAAATTGAAAGTGATCTTATACAATTACTGTATTAGTCCTCAAGTCTTAATGTAGCCCTCAAGCCTTGGCTATGTTGATAGCCTTGGAGTCCTAAGTGACGGGGAACTTCTCATTGTTATCCTCCCTCTCCTGTGGGTTGTATTTTCACTTGTTAATAAAGTTTTTATATTATACCATTTTTTTGTTTTTATTTTTTGTTTTTATGTATTGATTCTCGTTCACTGCCCAGAGACCTTTGGTGAGGTGCGTGATTATATGAATTTGATTGATAAGTTGATTGATAAATATTTCATCAAAAGCATCATTCAAATCAGCATTGTCACTTTTTTTCCTTGAAGGACTTTGCTTTTGATAAAACCCCCTTAAGTGCAACCCTCTCAGCCATCAGCCAGTAGGTGGATGGCAAATACTTGCAGTGCTCAGCTGTCAGTCAGCTCAAGTCCAGCATATAACAAGGCCTTCTCTTCTTCAAATCAAGCAAGCTGTTGTTTAAAAATGGAGGGAAAGGGAGTAAATTGCAGCTTCAAAGAAAATCCTTTTATATGTTCTGCTAGGGCAGGGGTCCCCAACCACCAGTCCATGGACCGGCACTGGGCCGCGGCATGCCAAAACCCGAGCCGTATAAACAAGCGAAGCCCCATCTGTGGGATGCAGGCAGCACACAAAACCATGCCCCCTCTCGTCCGCAGAAAAACCTGTCTCCACGGAAACGGTCCATGGTGCCCAAAAGATTGGGGGCCGCTGTGCTAGGGTATTTTGCTTGCATTATTCCTGCTCACCATCTATGCAAATGCTGGCAACTATTGACTTTTACATCATGAAACCAAATATAGTAGCATTCTCCAATATGTAGTTGGTATTACAACTCCTTGGATTATGAGTCAGCATGATACTCTATAATGATATTACTCTATACTTTCTTTTAGAGTAAAATGATTATCAGAGGCAAGGGGTTTATATAAGAGGCATTTCAAAATGAGTCTCACCATAGTCCGTGTTTTCTGGTTCCCAACAATTTGATGGCCAGAAGTATGGAGCCTGAAAAACAGAAAATAATACTTTATCTTGAAGATGTAGGTATTCAAACATCTATACTTCTTCAGATATTTAGGCAGCTTAAGTGTCAATGAAATAAAGAAATTCTTCTTAATTATTTTAAGGCATATTTTTTTAAATAAAGAAACCCAAACTAATTTTGTATAGGTGTGATCGCCTATATGCATGCAATACTAGAGAACAAGAGATCACACCAAAACATCCTACTTATTAGGATCAGTATGATTGCAATCCTATGCATATAATTCCAATTTACAAATCACATCACATTTTTCTACCAGCTGAAATGCAAATTAGAAAAAGGCAATTTTGAAAAGAAGTGCTACAGTTTGAGCTTCTATGATGAATTAAGAAGCCCATCACGGAAAGACATAGTAAGCCTTTGTTTGATTCTCTTTCATATCTCCTGATTTCCCATGGGATGGTTTTTTTTCCACAAGCCATAATAACTCTTTTAAAAAGATTTATTTCTTCATTCATTTCTTAGAGAAAGAATGGCAAATAGATTCAATTCTTGGGGCCCCTAGGGTGGCCCATGTTACACCACTGTTCCATGAGCTGCACTGGCTGCTGATTTGCTTCCGGGTACAATTCACGGTGTTGGTTATTTAAAGCCCTTCATGGCATGGGTCCAGGTTATCTGAAGAGCTGTCTCAATGGGCTTGACCTGCCCCACCCATGCTAGCAGAAGGGACATGCTGCAGGCCCTGTCAGTCAAAGAATTTTGGCTGCTGAGGTCCAGGAGAAGAGCCTTCTCTGGCGTAGCTCCTGCCCTTTGGAACAAAATGGTATCTGTACACACTCTTACCTGACCTTCCATAAGGGCCTGAAGATCTGGATCTGCCAGTTGGGGTGCCCCATTCTGGAGGTGGCTATTGGATTAAGAAAAGCTTCCACCTCTCCCCATGTACTTCATGCTCCCCTCCTCCCCATCTTTTTCTTATTTTATTGTTTTATCATTTTAATGTCTATCCATTTTAATGTTTGTAAGCCACACAGTATCGCCTCTGGATGAGATGGGCAGCACCATCTAAATCTAATAAAATAATAAACTTACAAACAAACAAACAAATAACCATGTTCCATGGTTTCTCCAAAGAAGTTCCTAGAATTGTCTTTCCCAGTCTTTCCCTTCCATTACACTAATAAAGAGAAATATTAATAAAATTATCATCAAAATGACCTTTTCAACCATTGTTACCTGCTGTGTGAATACTTGGTCTAAAGAAAATAGATATAAGAGCGTAATGTTGCTTTCCATGTTACAATATATATATATATATATATATATATATATATATATATATATATATATATATATATATATATATATATATATATATATATATATATATATATATATATATATATTTTAAAAAGCTGTCATCTTTCTTCTGAAAAAATATTCTGTATGCATTAGAATGTTAGGATATTAATATTCCTTGGAACTGTATCACCATTACTGCCCCCATATTTAACCATGCTAGGAAGAAAGGGAGGTATATGCAGTCATAATTTAAAAAAATGACATTATCTAGATCAGGGGTGTCAAACTCTCCGCATCACGTGACGCAATGTAGCGCAACTTTTTTCCCCTTGCCAGAGCTGGGGTGGTTGCGGCTTCCACATGGGTGGGGGCGGCTTCCGCATGATGCATCCAGCCTGTGGGCCAGCAGTTTGACACCCCTGATCTAGATTAAGAAGAAATTTAAATGAATATTGGATGGCAGCAAAAACTTGGGGAATTTATTCTGTGTCTCTTGCTGTTATCTAGTGGTTGACATCCCTAGAAAAGTAGATGGTTGCCTTCTGTTACTAAAGATAAAAAGCATACATTTGTCAAAATTCAAAGATGCAACTATTGACAGACAATCCTGAAGAAATTATATCCATTGTGTTATGAAGAATTGGAAGTGAGTGATTAACTTAATAACAACATTGATACTGATCTGATAATTACAACAAAACTGACAAGCAATCTCTTGCCACGCTTTGGAGATGTCAGATGTTATATGAACAGTGTAGGAAAAGGAATTAAGCCTGGTTTGGAATATAAGGAGACAAGCAGCAATTATCAGTGATAAATAAAATACTGTAAAATAATTTTAATAAATCAATAAAACATATACTTGTCTTTGAGAAAGTCTGAGGTTCGATTCTTAGCATCTCCAATTTAAAAAAGGATAAAAAAAAAATACACTAACAGGACTAATACCCCAAAGGTTAACAAAATATACAAAGCTCTTACTATCTGGAGCAAAGTAGATTAGTTACGTTAAAAGACAAACAGTTCTATGGTGATGTTGAACAACTGGAAGAATCAGACAAAAGTTAGGATAAGGTAGGTATACAACAGGGTGTTTTATTCTAGATTTCTTCCTCCATAAAAAGTGGAAATTGGAGGACTTCAGCAAGGAAAGACATACCTATCCAGTCTGTAATTCAAGTAAAGAAAACAGATTTCTTACTTGAAACCGATAAAAAGTCCCATCATCCTTTAAAGTCAGCACGTGATCGGAAATTGGAAAAATATATCCTTGTGCTGCAATGAGACTTCCCATATGTATTGATTCAGCTGTAAAACAAACAAACAAACAAACAAACACAAACTCTGTCAGACAATTATGCTTTTCAGTAGTCAACTTGCCAAACTTGGGTGGCAGGAATTTTCTGACTAGATATGATGACATCAGTGGTAAATTCAGCAAAATGGAAGTGCAACCTCTTTATTCAGCTTTGGGCCCTGTGTTGGGGGTGGATTAACAGTTAATCATCACAGGTACAGTATATTTTATTCACTTAAATAACATCTGGCCACCCATAACTGATTCCAGGCTGTCAAACAAAAGGGAATAAATATCTGGATGATACATTTCTACTGGAAAGACCTTTTATACCAGAAATAACAATGTGGAGCAATGATGCAGTTAGAAAGGTAACATTTGTCTATCTTTGCAAAGGTAAATAACAATTTCTGTCCAACGGATGTTATAATGTTCACATGGCTGGACACACAAGAGACTACTTAGGAAGCCAGATGACTCCATTTGTTGCAGGTGAATGAGACGGAGCAAAATCTGGCCCATCCGGAAACTTAATAGAGTCCAGGCACTCAGGGCCCTTAATTCTGCAATCCAACTGAATCTCACCTGTACATTTATCATTCTGGATTACAAGGTGAGAGACTTCTCGTGGTAGTGGTATTAATGCATACTGTATATTCAGATCTTATGGAAATATTAAAATATAAAAACAGTATATAAAAGATACAAATTTAAAAAGATACAAGGATGATTAAGACATTATTAGAATTGCCTCCAGGTGAGATGGGCAACATATAATTTGAATGAATGAATGAATGAATGGATAAATATTAACATTTTAATAATTTTAATAACTGTTAAAAGGGGTAGGGAGGGCTTTCAGCCCCATGGCTGCATGCTCCTTATGGGCTCCCTATGCAAGGCTGCAGTCATGTTTTCACTTCTTTATGGAAGGCCAGGAGGGTGTGGGCCCTGCTTCACCTCAGGGGGCAGGGGGGAGGAATTCCACAGTGTGGGACAATGTCAGAGAAGATCTTCTCCTTTTCCTCCTCCAAGTCCACCAGTCAGAATTCTCTAACTGACAGGGTTAACTGACGGGTCCTCAACATATCTTCCCTGCCTGACTGGATGGAATGGGCCACCATGATTACCTGCTCGAAGAAAAAAAACCCATAAAACTTTTAATAAAACAATGAGAGTGATGTAGTCTGAATTTTGGCCTCTGTTATATCAAGCATATCATCTTCATTCTAGCCATTGTCTATCTACTGCAGGATGAAGGCCTCTTCTGCATGTTTCCAACCAATACGATCTTGAGCTTTCTTTTGCCAATTGGGCCTGCAATACTTCAATATACAACATATCAAACTTATATAGAAAGCCATACCTTTCAGGGGAGAAAAAAAAGCTAGGAAAAATTAGGAAACACCAAGGGTCAACATGTCTTGCTATGCTGCCTATACACTATCATTTTCTGAATCTGAGAGATTATCACCAGCAATTTCTGTTTTTTAAGATTCTTTTTAAGTTTTTGTTGTTGTAGCATTCTGAAAACTTTTTCTCTATATTGAGAAAAGTTTTTTTCTATATATTTTATATGTAGTCTATTTCCTGCTTTATTGCATTTGCAAATATAATCTCAATCTTTACATCTACCTCATTTAATAATGCATCTATATGTATTATTAAAGTGCAGCTATATAGACATTGTTTAAAAACTCCAATCTTTCCCCATAAAGTTTCTATTTTTTTTTTTCAAAATAGGAATAAAGTAAAAAAAAAATAGCACCTTGGAAAACAATGAAACCTCTGCCCCTTATCTTTAAAATAAAGTTCACATTTGGAAATAATAATGTTCCAAAGTTATTAAGAATGTATGTGATTGGTATTTTCTTTTTTCACTTAGCTTTCCTGTCTAGAATAAAGAAGAACATTCCAGAAGAGTGTATTCTGGAATCTAACTTACCATTTCAAGATCAAGATTTGACTTGGAATCACTTTCTCAATCAAAACTTCCAAATAAAATTTTGATTTTTCATCTTTAGATCACAACATTTACTATTGCATTTCATAATGACAAGCCTCAAGATAATGCTTCCTTAGAATTTAATGAACAGATTACCTAGATCTTCAATACTGAGATTCTTCATAAGCCACTGTACTATGTCAGCTCCTGAAGAGAGAAAGAGAGAGAGAGAGAGAGAGAGAGAGAGAGAGAGAGAGAGAGAGAGAGAGAGAGAGAGAGAGAGAGAGAGAAGGGAGGGAGAGAGAGAGAGAGAGAGTTAAAAAGCATAACATAAACCATACATAAGTGATAATTTTCAGATGTGACAGCTGTTGCTTCCAACAAGAGAAAAAGCTTATTCTTCGAGCTGAGCTGTTGCTGTCATATCTTCTGTAGTCAATATCCATAAAATGCCTTCTCCTAGCTCCATCTCAGTTTCATCATTAGAATTAAATGATTGTTAAATGACATCCTTGTTTCAATTCAAGTGAATATATGTAGCCATATCCAACAAGGGGTTCCTCAAAGCCATTTGACTCAGAGGCAGGGTTCAGACAACACAGTAGATTATGCTACTTGATTTGTGGAGCTTGTTTTAACATATTATGTGACTCTGGCCACTGAATTTATTTGGGCTTAGCATTATTATTGTTTTGGTGATAATGGTTGTTAAACTTATATCCCATCTTTATTTAATAAAACTTAGGGGAGAATATATTTTGCTGTCTACTTTGTTTTCCTTGTGAGGTGAGTTGGGCTGAGTGATTGGTCCAAAGTCACCCATCCAACTTTCATGCATAAAGGGCTAGAACTCAATAGTCTCTCAGTCTATAATCTAGCATCTTAATCTCTACACCAAATTGGGCTTCGTTCATACACACACATGAACCTATAACTCAGTCATATATCTCCCCAAGCTTGTAAACATTAATGATATATCTCCACATGCTCTGTGAAGAGAGTCACTTAGGTGAGATGGGTGAATATGAATGAATGAATGAATGAATGAATGAATGAATGAACAAATATACAGTTACGTTTGCTAATTTGTTTTTTCTGCTTAGCATGTTATAGGAACCCAGATGGAATCTGATCCTTGAACACAAAACCACATATCATTGCATAGGAAAGACAAAAACAAAACTTAACATCATTCCAACAATGAAGCTCCCAGACTAGTTCGCAGAGTACTTAATTATGAATGCCCTGATGCAAGATTTGCTAACAGTTCACAGCAAGAATTAAAAAAAAAACACCATAAAATACATGTATCAAGAATTATTTATTGAGAGTTTGCAAAAGAAAAAAATCATGGTCACCAGGCAACATCCTATTGAGGACAAGAGTGTCCTGAGAGAATAGGAAAAGGGCTGTCATGTACACGCCATCCTAGTGAATCTGCACAGCCATAAGGGTGGATGAGGCCAGACTAATTCAACAAGGCCATTTTTGTGATCTTCTAAAATACAATTTTCAAATCACTTCCATTCTTCTTCTGCCTGAAGGGCAGTCAGTAGGCCATTCCATTCATTATGCAAAGTGGTGACTTGGTTCCCTGCTCCAAAGGCTTGCGATGGTGGCAACAATCTGTGTTTCTTATTTTATTTATTTATTAAACCTCATGCTACCCATCTTATAGAAGTGAACTCTTCCCATATGTTGTTTTACCATATTATTTCTTATCAGTCGGGAGTTTTCTGAGTAAAGTGGAAGGAACATATTTTACAGTTTTTTTCGATCTATCACTGGCAGCAACCAAATGATAGACGTGTGGTTGTTAAGCATTAAAAACAAGAGCTTTCTTTCTTTTCCCAAAGAAGCTGACAAATTAAAGATGTACAAAGCTTTGATAGAAATAACCTCCAAAGTATACACATATAGAGAAATATCATTTCTTCACGCACCTTAAAAACCCTAAAGGATGTTTAAGAAAAGAACATAGAAAATGTTTCCAGTAGCTCCCCAGTTTTCTCAAGACTGAAGGATTATTTTTTGCTGACTTTGCCAGACCATTAATTATCACCTGTCAAAAATAATTACTCACCCTTAGGATAATGACAAGCTTTTCCTCCCCTGTTAATTACTGTCCTTGCTAACAGTCTGATCAGCATTCATCAAGATGACAGACAGATTTATCCTCTCATCCTCTGCTTGTCTTTCTTACCTCAGACAGTCAATAATTCAACCAAGAATTTTACAAAGAAAAAGACTAGGCTGGTTACATCATATGCTATCACCCTGTCCATGGACCATTTTCTGAGTCTGCTGAATAAACGTAATACAGGGACCAACTGACTTTCAATTTTTTTTAAAAAGAAAGTCCTTCAGAGAATCTGCTTCTAACTGTATTTTATAAAGAGGAATAGGATACACACACACACCCTTATCTATCCATAATTATCCATTCCAGCTATAACAATAGCAGTTAGACCAGTGTTTCTCAACCTTGACCATTTTAAGGCATGTGGACTTCAACTCCCAGAATTCCACAGCCAGCATTGCTGGCTGTGGAATTCTGGGAGTTGAAGTCCACATGCCTTAAAATTGTCAAAGTTGAGAAACACTGAGTTAGACTTATATACCAATTCATAGTGCTTTACAGCCCTCTCTAGCTCTGTCTAAGTGGTTTGCAGAGTCAGCCTATTGCCACCAATAATCTAGGTCCTCATTTTACCGACCTCGGAAGGCTGCAAGGCTGAATCAATCTTGAGCTGGTCAGGATTGAACTGCCGGCAGTCAGCAGAATTAGCTTGCAATACTGCATTCTAACTATTGCACCACCACGGCTCAGAATCGGGGTTTACTCTTTTCTCCTAAACATGATCTTCAATATACTAATTTAGGTGTTTGGTTTTTTTTCAACCAAGCAGGAAAATATGAGACAACAATGCAGTAGGGTTTTTTTAAAAAACATTTCTCAATAAAGGTCAGGAGAATGAACTATACAATTACACTGTACTTCAGGAATAAGACACAGAGCAACACATAAGGGATAAGCACAAGGGAAATAAGTAATCATTTGGTTTCAAAATAGAGCCTTTTTAACATTCTGTTCCCATGTTAATTGGACATCCATCCTGGATTTTTTCTTTCTTTCAATGCATCAAATTACTGCCTCTTCCCTCCCTCCCCTATTTTTCATCCTTTGGAAGAATCAGAGATCTGATGGGGAGATTATATTTTAATTGATTAGTCCTATTGCCTTGAGTAGAAGCTCTCAATACAGCCAATGATTTCAAATACTGAACCCTACTGGATGGAGCTCCCTTCATATGCCTTCTTCTCATTGCTTTCTTAAAAGATTTGCTGATAAACTAGAAAAGGGTATGTTTTGCAGAAGAGCAAAAACATTAATAATATATCCTGTAAAGTACAAAATATCACCTGTAGTTCAAATTGGACTGAGGTACCTAGTGGCTTAGATGTTATGATAACACCTCCCCCCCAAATCTATGGAACTAAGGAGTTTTCCCATCCTTTGCTGTACAGGTAGTTCTCAACTTGCGACTACAACTGAACCCAAAATTTATGTTGAGCTTTGCTCCATTTTTGCCAAAGTTGTTAAGTGAATCATGCAGACCTGGCTTCCCCACATTGTCGGAAGCCAGCTGGGAAGGTTACAAATAGTGATCACATGAACCTGGGACAATGCAATGCAACTGTCATAAATACATGCCAGTTGCCAAGTGCCCAAATTTTGATCACATGACCTTGGGGATTCTGCAACAGTCATAAGTGTGAAAAACGGTCACAAGCAATGGTGGGATTCAGCCGGTTCGCACCACTTCGGCAGAACCGATAGCTAATTTTTTGTTGCCCAGGCCCAGAATGGACTTCCAGAAGTGGTATCCACAAAGAGAACTGGTTGTTCACATATTTGAATCGCACCACTGGTCACAAGTCACTTTTTTCAGTGCCTTCTAATTTTGAACAGTCAGTAAATGAATGGCTGTAAGCCAAGGACTCCCTGCATACTGAACAGCTGAATGAGAATACTGTGTGATTAAGTAATGGAGGGTGAAAACAGAACACCAATTAGGAAAGTGAATGAAATAATGTAGAATATCCTATCAAGGGGAACAATATTGCAATAAACTGTTATGTGAATTCCAAATTACCATATACACAAATGTCTTTGTTTTGCATTTAATCTGACTAAAGACATGTGCTTTCTTTTTTAATAATAGTAGTATTTCAAGGGAAGAAAGGAAAATGAGGAAGCATGCATTTTCAATATAACACAAACACAAATATAAGACTTCATTCTATATTGAAAACTATTCCATCATAGCAGAATGCTTCACCCCACAAATCCGATGTTGTTTGTATAGTATGCTGCTCTATATAAATTGATCTAAGCAATTCTTATTTTTTATATGGATCCATTTCTATGGATTACTACATAAGGAAACAGCAGTAAAGGGTGTTTTTTTTCCTTTTCATTGAATCAGTTTATCCACTATCTGTTCATTCCAGTAGCAAAAAGTGAAGTTACATTGTTACATGTCATCGACAAAACTATGAATCTGATCATAAATGGTAAAGCTGCCCATTCGTCCAGCAAAGTATTAGAGAGACAATTGCTCTTCATTCCAACTATTTCCTCTTATATGTTGGATCACAAACCCATGTAAATGATACCAAGCATTTTCAGAAGTAAAGAATCTGTCACAGTGACAAATAGCAAGGCAGTCAAGGAAACAGGCAATAAAATTGTGTGTTCAAATCTGAGAAATGGAATGAATTATAGATTGAAACCTACAGATAGTAGAGATGAACATGCTAGAAACAGGGACAATTTTCTCTGACTCCCTCTGAAGACCTCAGCAGTTTCTTCTGCAATGTTCCCAAGGGTTGAGGCATACTTTAGAATAAAGTTGAGACATAGGGCTCAAAGCCCATCAATCCTATGACACAAAGTGTCTTTTATTAGTCACCTGGGCTCTATTACCTTCATTTAGCTACGCATTGGTAGATTTCAGGAATGTGCTATAGTAACTAGAAGCTTAGGGTAAGTTCCGAAGTTGTTTTGAAAACTGTAGCTATTACAGAATAGAGTTTTTAATAAATAATTTTTTCCCCCAGGCTCTTTTTTGCCAACACTATTTCAACTGTATAAACCGAGATTGCTCTTCGACATAAGAGTGGTGCAGCTGCGCTGTGCCAAA